AACCGCATCATCACAACCAATGATAACGTGACAAAAATTGCCAACACGGTATTACGAATTACAATCAAATCGGAGACGAACGAGTAATCCGAAATGTTTCTAAGAGGTAAGAATGGAACGCACATAACCAGGAGTCCTATGGCTACTAGAAGACACCCCAGGACAGTTGAAGTGTACGATTCCGCCCAGATCCTAGGCGTAGGAACTTCACCAGACTCTTCTCGTTGGGGATCTTCATGATCAATGTCTATGTTGGTCGTTGATCTGTCCTGACATGATGAGAATTCATCTCTCTCGATCTCTAGATGATTCCCATGATACGTGTGACCAGATGAAATGGTTTGATATTGAAGAGTCGTCATGACGTCACAATACCAACAGGCCTTGGAAGTGGACAAGCAATCGGTGAAGACAAGGCTATCTACAAACGTATGGCGATGAATTTTCGTGATCTGTCAATGAAATAAAAACAAATAGAATATTTATTATGTTGTATTGATTGCTGCCTATTGCATTGATCACAATAAATTTATAAGTATAATATGAGGAACACTTTCGTGATGAATATTTATATTTACTTATGGAGCAGATACATTTTTAAAGTGAAAACTTCAATCGATGAAGTTTTCTTACAAAATTACCTAAACATGAAACATAAACAGCGATCGACGCACTCAATCCATGGGTGCAGCAATCGTATAGGCAGACATACCTCTCAAATAAAACCAGATCAATCACAAAATTCATTAAAAAACGCAAGAAATATGTTGACGATAGGAAATTAGTTACCTGAAAAGTAAATTATCAAGGTCGAACCTGCTTATGAAGCTTGAACCCCTTTGAGTAAATAACTTTGTTCATAACATCTTCGTTTAGCACTTGTCGCACACTGGTATGCGAGAAACCTTCTTCTGATACCATGAAGACCGTATTTCTTGATGATGTCGAAGTATAGTTTCCTCCAAAACTAATTGACTTCAAGTTTCTCAGTCTAATTAAACATGATAAATGACTAGTTTCATTATATAGATATGATCAATTAGCTTACAATCTAAACAGAAACCAAAACCCTTCACAATCACGTCATCAAGCATTATGGAGGGGGTGGTGACTGTTCCTTGTATACACTAATTGAAGTATCGCTCATTAAAATGCTGTGATAATAATTATAAAGATGTGAGTAGGTATATTTTGCTTCCTGAGTTTCAAGTCGATTCAACTTGAGAATTTGTTGGGGGAAATTTGCTTTGAAATTCGCCTCCCCATTTTCATTGATTATACCATATGCTCTCGAAAGTACAAAATATAATATAGCTAGCTCGGTATAGAGCCAGCTTAAGTGCGTAGCCGAATTGTTAGTGTTGCACTAATTTATCCACCCCTTTCAAATAAGTCTTAACAGCATCTGTATGTATAATATGGTTTGCAAACTAATGCTATCGACCGTATTGATTAAAATTCACCGTTTTCGTTTCATTCTGGCAAAATACGGTATCATTGTGATAGACAATAGAAAGTAAGACAAAGAAGGGTGAATGCCCGGAATAAGAAGCTTGAAGTGGGGACGTCAGGGACTATTCAAGAGCAGGAAATGACCTGTTATATTCCTTTTTATTTAACTATAACCACAGTAAGGAATCTCGGATCAGAATATTGACGCAATCATAAAAATGAAAAGGAAATTGAAAGAGAGAAGGTCAATCTCATTGATTTAACCATGGTTACAGCGCCCGCAATCCGTCGCAGTAGTACAACGCAGAACGATAATCTATGAATGAATGAAGAGGGAGAGAGTGGGGGTGATGTGAAGAGAAGAAGGAGGAGGAGGAGAACAAAGAGAGAGAAAGAGAGAGAGAGAGCGAGGGAGAGGGAGAGAGAGAGAGAAAGAGAGAGAGAGAGAGAGAGAGAGAGAGAGAGAGAGAGAGAGAGAGAGAGAGAGAGAGAGAGAGAGAGAGAGAGAGAGAGAGAGAAGGTGGTCAGTGTACTGCTACATCTACAAGAACTACCGCCATGAATAAACAGGGAAATAAGGATAAGGAAAATGTTTTTTGTTTCAAATATCCGGAATAATTAGTTACTACTACTACTACTACTACTACTACTACTACTACTACTACTACTACTACTATAACTACTACTTCTACTACTACTACTACTTCTACTACTACTACTACTACTACTACTACTACTACTACTACTACTACCACTACTTCTACTACTACTACTAATATTACTACTACCAGGCGCGCCAGAAGCAACTTGGGATGGGGGAGGGGGGCGAAATTCCAGGAAGCTCACCTTCCAGGGACAATGGGGTCAATGAGCAAAAACTTTAGGGAGGGGCAGAAGGAAAATCTGCATCACCACCACTCTTACATGTCGCATGCAGGCCCCGCGGAACGTTGATGAAAGTTGAGTATTAACGATCAGGTAGAGCGTAGCGAGCGTAAATTGGCGTAGGGTTCAGGGGCTGAGCCCCCGGAAGCTCAGGGTTTTTAGGCATTAAATTACGGTCAGATAAGCATATTTAGATACCTTATTTGTGACACTGGCAGGTCTCTAATTGGCAGAGCCCCGGAAGATCAGGGGTTTTAGGTATTTAATAACTGTCAGGTAAGCACTCAGTGTCCTCTTTAGGGCCCTTGGTGGGGTCCAGGGGGCAGAGCCCCCGGAAGCTCAAGGGCTTAATTTATTTAATTACGGTCAGATGAGCATCCAAGGGCCCGCCTTAGGGCCCTTGGTGGGGTCCAGGGGGCAGAGCCCCCGGAAGCTCAAGGGTTTTATGTATTTGATTACGGTCAGATGAGCATCCAGGGGCCCCGCCTTAGGGCCCTTGGTGGGGTCTGGGGGCAGAGCCCCCGGAAGCTCAAGGGTTTTATGTATTTGATTACGGTCAGATGGGCATCCAGGGGTCCGCCTTAGGGCCCTTGATGGGTTCCCCTCAAACTCCCCATTGTAGCGCGTGCAGTTGACGCTACTGCGTTAGCAGGGGGCGGCCGAGCGACTTCCAAAGTGGGCGAGGGAGGTGGAACCATCAAAAAAGGGCACCTACAAAGGGGAATCTCAAAGCGAAAATATACAAATGTGTAGAGATTGGTATATGCCCCTACATTGTGATTACATAATCAGGGACCATTTCAATATTTGTTTCTCTTTTTAAATTATACAAGATATTGCTTAAGCATCATACTTTGAAACTGGATGTGGTGGTCTGAATATTCATTTGCGAGCGAGCATAGCGAGCGAGAAAAAACAAAATCTGTGAGTTCGAAGTGCGAAAACTTTCATCTTATGCAGAAGAAAAAACCCATCCTGATGGGGTTATAAGCACATTCTCATAACGGAAGACTGAAAAGGCCTTAGATAGGTAACATATATCATCTATGAATGCGAGCGAGCGTTTCGAGCGAGCTTTGGGGAAAATTATTCTTAGTCACTTTAAATTAGGGGCACGTTTAATGAGAGGAAATGGGGACACGAAAGGGATAAAGACACATATTAGAAAAGAAAAGGAGCACATGTCGAAGTACAAAGGGTAATTATCAGAGGTTAAAATAGAGCACTTCTTACACATGAAAAGGGGCACTCACCAGAGATGAAACAATTCAGTCATGAAAATGGGAAATGGGCATTTGTCATCGGAAAAGGGGAACCCATGTGATGTTAGTAGATACATTTATCAGAGGTGAAAAGGGGAATTCATGAAAAGGGAATAGGTACCTTATTAGATAGGAAAAGGGGCACGTATCATTGTTAAAAGGTTAATTATCAGAGGTGAAAATGGGCACTTATCACACCTTAACAGGGGTACTGACCAGATATGCAAAGGGACACTCGTGAGAACAAAAAAGAGGAACTTATCATAAAGGAAAATTTGCATTTGTTGAAAGAAAAGGGGCACCGATCAGATTTTGATAGGGGATTTATCAAAGGTGAAAGGGGACCTTCAGAAGAAGGGGGAAGTGGCTCTTACCAAAAATTAAAATAGTCACATTTTAAAATAAACGGGGCACTTATCAGAGATGAAAAGGGGTAATTATGAGAAGGTGAAGTGGTACTTTTACAAAGTAATAGGGGCACTTTCCCTATGTAAAAAGGGGCACTTCTTACAAAGTAAATGGGCAATTTCCTACGTAAAAGGGGGCACTTTTGGGTACTTGAAAAGGTGTGGGGGCACTGTTAAATATTATTTATACAATTTACTCATGAACTGAACGTTCATTAATTGTGATGTCATTTGCTATGAATTGTTTTATATATTGTACTTTACATATTGCCAAATTCGGCCGCATCGTTGTTCTTTTAAAAGCATTATCAATTCAATTCAACGATAAACACTAGACTAATCATGTGCCACTTTCCTACATTCCTGTAATTAAGCCTCCAATAGACCTGTTAGCTAACATATTCATATTGTATGCATACTGTTTAAAAAAGGTTGTTCTTGACAGCCCGAAATCTTGTCAGATGCTTACCTGACATAGCAACAAGTAATGTATGCAGACTGGATTCCAAGTATTGTAATTCATTCATGAGTAACAAGTTGATGGATACTTCATCACTAGGTCCCCAGGAAAGAAAAATTCATAAATTTGAATACGTTGGTAATCTGTCTATTGAACACACCCATAGACCACTGGTGGGGTGGTTCTTGCAAGTTTTCTGGTAATGGTGAAGGGTAAGCCCATTAATTACCATTCACAGTCAAAACAAACGTTTGAAAGTAAATGTAACTTGAAGTGTACTGTCAATATAGCTTCAGTAAGTAAATAAATTTGACGATTCGACTACAATTACAAGTATATTGAGTTTTGAAGACCTGCACCTACTAGCTTTTTAACACCTACGAGATCGATTTTTTTAATTGTTTTGAAAAGTCGCATATATATGATTATTGACAGAACGATCCTTTATTCTCGTGCAAAACGGAACTACTGGGCTAAATTTAATGTGAATGTTTCATGCTTCTCTGCGTATGCGGAAGAGTGTGCGTGGGAAATCATTACAGGGGATAGTAAACATATGAACCAGACGGGATAGATAGATGTCCCAGATGCTATTGTCATGCATCATATTGGTGTGTTAGCCTCGAAGTTTCGACGCTACACTGACATTCAAATAGGGAGTGACGTAGATGGAAGCACAAACACCCCTGACCTCAAAATCCTAGACCTGTACATGCTGAGGAAGTCAAGTATTGTTATTATGCTTTACGAGTCGAGCTAAATAGAGACGTGTATCAATCTGAACTGCAAGGCGAGCTCTAGTTGTTGCCAAGAGTTGATCACCATTCGATTCGATATGTTATGTTAGCTGCGACTCAACTCCTCTCTCAGACGTACTTTTACCGTTACATTGTACTGCAAGATGGTGTCTCGACTTGGTATCAACGCCTGGAAACTGGTGCTTATATCTACTCTGCTCTCATTCTGTTGTTATGCGCAAGGCAAGTGTTTACTTTTGAGTGTTGCGAATGAAACGGCATGGACCTATGGCTTGGTTGTGGTGTTATTATGTACGTTTACGTATTAAATGTATTGTGCATTGAATTGGACAAATCCACCACCTGAGTGAGATGTGAATTTAAGTCTATTCAACATTGCACGTACACAATAGGCTTCATCGCCGATATAATTCATTACATTTGCATTAAATAGATTGTAATCTGCGTGAAGCCTATCTATCATTAAAATCATGAAAGTTCTATTCTATGAGCGTAGATCCAGATTAGGCACCACATATCCAGCCCAGCCCCCCCCCCCCCCCCACCCACCGGACCAGTATACAAGGTGGTATAAAATGAGACAGCACGATAAATCGCTTTCTATTCACTTCAATTCAAATTTTTCCTGTTCCCAACATAATATTTCAAATCAATTAAGGAATATATATTGGAAACAAAGGGGTACACTATAAAGCAATGCTTGTACAATAATTATTGTGGACCCCTAAACGTTAACACTAACCCTTCATCAGTTTAGTTACGCATAATACTCCGCCGAACCCGTCAAAAGGAAATACAATGACTTAGTAAAATCATTGCCCCCCCCCCTATCCACACGACTGCTAAGAACATGCATATATTATGATGCTATATTATGCCGAGCCGAATACATGTGGTAATAGAATGTTGTCCATGTGCTGGAGTACTTTTTTTCTCCTTCTAACCTCGCTCATTAATATCGTGGGCTTCGTGGCAATCAGTATGTTTTATTTTGATAGGTAAAACTTGTATCTTCTCAGAACATTATTGGTCAACCTCTATGATTCTTTAAGGTGAGCAATAAAGTTCTGAGAAGATTCAAACTTTATCATTTATTATGGGTAACAGTTTATTCAAATTTAGTATCTACATTGCTACTTCATCACTTTGATTGATCATATTAATGTGATTGTGAGAGTATACATGAAAATACTTTTATCGTTCGATATCACAGTAAATATGCCTACCTGCATCATTATTAATGTCATAAACTGTAATTGGGTGTATCATACACCACATCTATGTGACTACTATGTGTAATGTGAACCATGTAAGCATGCCCTGGTGATAACATGTTATCCGGTTATTCTGTGTACCTTACGAATTATTGAATGATATTCATTTCATTTTCATTTCATTTATTTATTCACTATTTTCAAATAATCCTGCATAACATCAAGAACGTGACAAAAGTACATTTCTGGTAACAATGATGTTTTACCTATAAATCAGTAAATAATACTTTTAAGTAACTCAACAATTTATTATTCCCATGTTATGACCTTCAAGATAATTGATTTTCTTTGGGGGGGGGAATATTATGGCGTGTTCAAAAGCTATATGCTTGTATATTATTATTATTATATTACATGCCCCCAAATTAAGTTAATGTAGTCAATAATTGGGTCATAGAACTGGAAAGATCTTTTGATCAAACTACACACAAGATGTTGACACGAAACACACACGCACGCACGCAAAAGGGGGATGGGTAGGTGGACAGATGTCTCCACCCCTCCCCCCCTCAACTTTCCCCTCTCGTTGGATGCACTGCAAACTGCAGAGTGGTTTTTCATATATATTTTTTTAACGAAATATGTAATGTTACAAGGCATGCAAAACTTGTTAAATTGATACAGGTTCAGATTGCAAGTGACTATTTTTGTAACTAATCTAAGCTATTAACTTAGAAATTCAATCGTGCTTGTTTTCATAGCTACCCTTGTAAATATCGTAAAAGCACCATAATAAAAGTGTAGGGATATTCATTTCAAGCACTCCACACAATGACAAACTAAGCGCATAACTACAGTTTCAATAAATAATTTTACCATTGATGTGGCGGGACTCCAGAAATGTTGTGGAGGGGGAGGGGGTGGTCTAATTAGCTAGGTGGGTTAAAAGGGGGTACGGAGGGGAAAGGGATAATAAATCAGCTTCACGACTTACTTTCCCCCTCTTTCTCTATCTCTCCCCTGCTCCGCCTCCCTCCCTTCTCACTGACCCCCCCCCCCCCCCCTCCTCTTCCCACCTCTTCTACACCCCTTTAAAAAGCTGTCTTCTATACTGCATTTCTATGTTTTTCTTAGCTCGTATGGCACGTACCACGCAATACCCGAATTGTAGCCTTTGGTATACAAACAAAGATATGAAAGCGGAAGTGCTTGAAAATAGTATGGCACTGTACACACGGTTGGGAATGCATTGAACGCCCCTGAGGCCAGTTTAATACCGATACATTTAGGTTTATATTATACATTTTTTCCTTCACTTTATGGCACCATGTTTAATGCACATTTTAACAGCGTCTACACAAGTTTATTTACCTAAAAAGTGATCACAATGAAATTGTTCTCAAAAAGGGCAATCGACCAATTTCTTTTGGAAATTATATACGCAACAGTACTATTCAGTGTTTGGTTTTTTTTTTACATGCAGTTTGCATTTTACAGGCAAATTCCAACAACAAGGACGTTCGCACCAAATTCCACACCTGGGTGGAGATATTCAGTGAGGATAAAATCAAGGGGCTTGATCTCAAATCCTTCGTATCTCTCTCTCCATGTGTTTTAATATCTCGACTAAAATGATCCTATATCTCAAATTTGATGACAAACTTTGTTTCTCTTTATGATTCTACCAATATTATATTTAGAACATTTCCAGTGACTATTGTTTGTTACAGCGTTGATTGTAATTATATTTGGTTGGGTGAGTAAAATGATACTGTTTACATTGCCTGCCATGTTTGTCTATTCAGCCTTTTTATTTAGAATTGTGTCGTCGGAGTTTAAGCATTGTATGGTCGATGATTCACAGATTATTGACTTAAAATGGATTGTTTGCAATTCCCCTTTTAATCCTTCTCGTTAAGGCCTATCGGGCGACAACAAGCGAAAACATATATATTGCGACCTGACTACAACTAAATGAAAAGATCAGGATTAGATAAGAAAATTCGAGAATGCATTTTTTCCTAATTGAGGTCACGATTTGCCATATCGATAGTTATTCCTAAGTAAAGTGGAAGTCCAACCTAATATTTAGTCGGTTTTAATAGAAGCAGAAAAATTAGATAAACATTATGTTTAATAGGAGTTTGCTCAACTATCACTGACCTTTTCCTCTCATTTTTGTCTGCTTCGATTAAAACCAACTTAGTATCAAGGTGAACTTCCCCTTTAAGGAGCTAGTGTGGTTAAAAGCCTAGTTTGGAAGTTATATGGCGGGTACCAGAACATAATTTCTTCTCTGGAACTTGTGGTGTCGTGGTGAAAAATTGATTATGATATATCAACGATGCTTTCAGCTTGTTGATTACTTGATTAAAAAACGAAGGTCACCATAACCTCGTTATGATCCATGTATTTAGGTTGACTTGCGGTACGAGTAATATAATTTCATCTGCATGTTTAGGCGGCTATAATTATGACAGCATAAATTAGATGTAAAGAAATGATCCACCATTTCGATACAGAGATTAGCGATAGCTTTATCTCGTAGCCAGTGTGGCATACACATAAACTAAATCCAGAACACCAGGGTTTTTTCATTTGCATTTGCTGTTCATGAAAAAGGTTGTACTGGAATTTTGTTCATTTATTCATTTTATGATGATGTTATCCAGCGCTATTAGTTTACCAGAATACGACAAGTGAAGTGTATTTTTTTTGGCTTACTTTTTCATAATGTTATTAGGCTGAAGTCTCAATTGGATTCGATATTTTGAGATTTGGCAAGATTACTTATTATATTATTGGGGGATTGAAAAACGCTTGGTAGATACGTTTGGCGTATGGAAATGTTATTGCTTTTGAGAAAACGGGAAGTGAATTGAGAAAAATCTGTTGAGTCTTTTTCTGTGTTATGTGTTGCATTTTAAACCTTTTTCATGTATACTAAGTCAATTCACGGCAGACAAAAGATAATAATCTTCACATCATTGTCATATAAATTGTTTGCGATGTTCTAGTTGAGTAGAGTTCTATCTATATCTCTTTGTAACTGAAGGACGACTTTCAAGAGAAAAGACATTTAAAGGTCGTAGTTACGTAGTACATATACGATATAAACGCAGTAATATATTACAAAGATATAGCCAGTTTCAAATTAATTACTTAAACGATGTGTAACGTGACATCAGGGAGTTCCCAACTCCCTGATGACATGCAGCTTTAACGAGCGTGGGCATAAAAATGTCAGCTATTTACTTCTTCATTGAACGAAAACGAAAAAGGGATATTAAAAATGCCATTAATGGACCATAACGGACTAGTCATTACCATGATTACATATCGTACTTCAAGGCAAAAATTGCAATCATGTCAGAATTCGGAACATCAATATTCCAAGATAATGTTCGTGCAGATTTGTCATGGTCTAGGGGACAAGTCACCGGAATGTGGATCACATGGTTCGGGGTTTGAGTCCCACCGCGGCACTATGTGTCCATTGGTAAGACATTAATCTACATTTCCCACTCTTCGCCCAGGTGTTAATAGGTACCGGGCAATTGCTAGGGTAATAACTGCAGCGCCCGTGGGAAGAGCAGTATTAATTCTGATGTTGCTACTATATGTAAATAAGACCGAATTATTTTATTATTTTTATTTTTTTATTAGCATTATTATCATCATTCTATAAGTATCACATAAAATAATACCTGTCGATCGCATTACCTCATTTAGAGCGTGAACAATTTTGTTAACAAGTAGAGTGATTTACATTCAGCGTTAGTATAATTACTGAAATATGGAATAATTCTCATTTTTTGACTAGGCCATGATTATCATGTCATAATTTTGTTTCCCCATACACTTCAGTTTGAGTATGATATGTTCCCTGCATACACGAATATAGCGGTCCATCTATCCATACACACGTACATCTCTCCCACGTACAAAAATCAACACCTCCATATTCAATACAACTCAGCTATAATAACAGACGAATCAATGTCCTTTAGAAAGAAGGGATTTTTTTCCATGAAGGAAACTGGCAGTTTATATCCTGCCTACCAAGGAAAGGCAAAGTCCGGATGTGTTATGATTCTTAATCATGATCTTATTTTAGTCTGAGCTCCTTCCTGTTTTGGGTCAGGTCCAGTATTAGTGTTGGAGTAAAATGATGTTTTCTAATATGATTGTAATGACATTTCCGGGATCGTGTATTTCCTTGTTCATGTATACACAGTTTATAATGAAGTATGTCGATGGTATGAAAACTCATATGCGTGCAGTTTTAGCACGATTGTCATGTAGTAAATCAATGTAATTGAATGAATTTTTGTAATTTAAAGAGAAAAATCTCCCATCTTCTACATTAAATGAGTGAGGCAGCATGAAAAGGGATAACAGGACATACGAAAATCGAATTGAATATACAAACCAAACATTCAAACATATCAAAGATATGATATCAATGTGTCACAAGTATTTGTAACCTTGGTGTGTTCTTTGATACGAATAGGACTCCTCAAATTCAACATGTTTCAAAATCGGTCAGATATCAGTTGCGTAATTGGGGTTTCATTCGAAAATACTTAACTCGCAGTGCCACATAGAAGATTATTCATGCATTCATTTCATCTCGCCTTGATTTCGGAATGCTCTCTTGTTTAACCTGTCTCATAATCAGCTTGCCAATTACAAAAATAGCAACATTTCTTTGATTAATCACTACATCACTCTGGAATTGTTAGGCTCTAGGGCTTTGAGATATTCCTACAGTAGAGTCTTTCAAAAGCAACCTTAAAGCTCATCAGTTTGCTTTTAGTTGATCTGATGTTTCTTCTTTTTGTGTTTATATTGTTTTTGTGTACAAGTATGTTTATGTGTTTTATGTTTTGCACTAGTGCGCCCTGAGCTTAAGTGGATTTAGCGCCTTATATATTATTATATTATCGTTATTATTCTACTTCTCCTTCTCATTCTACTTCTACTCCTTCTACTTCTACTTCTACATCTACTGCTACTTCTACTTCTACTTCTACATCTATACTGCTACTTCTACTTCTACGTTTACTTCTCATTTTATTTCTACTTCTACTTCCATTTCTACATCTACATCTACTTCTACTTCTGCACGTACTGCTACTTCTACTTCTACCTTACTTCTACTTCTACATCTATACTGCTGCTTCTACTTCTACTTCTACTTCTACACCTATACTGCTACTTCTAATTCTCATTCTATTTCCGCTTACACTTCTACTCCTACTTCTACTTATACTTCTCATTCTCATTATACTTCTCCTTCTTCTTCTCTACTTCTCATTCTCATTCTAATTCTACTTCAACTCCTACTGCTACTTCTACATCTACTGCTACTTCTACATCTACTGCTACTTCTACATCTACTGCTACTTCTACTTCTACTTTACTTCTCCTTCTCATTATACTTCTCCTTCTTCTTCTATACTTCTCATTCTAATTCTACTCCTTCTTCTACTTCTACATCTACTGCTTCTTCTACTTCTACTTCTACATCTACTTCTACTTCTACTTCTACTTCTATTCCAACTCCTACTTTCATAATCTCTACTCTCCTTCATCCACCTTCTACTTCTACCTTTCGTCTAGTTCAATATTCATAATTATTTTTAGAGAAAATTGCCCCTCTTATCTTGATATTTTTCTCTACTTTTGGTCATTTTGCAGAGCTTGATATTCGTCTCTTCGGTGGTAGCGGTAACTATGAGGGTCGAGTAGAGGTCAGGGTCAACGGCCAATGGGGTACAGTCTGTAATGAAACATGGGACATGGACGATGCTACAGTGGTATGTCGGGAGCTCGGTGACCGAACAGCTATCAAATACGATGTGATGTATGGTGAAGGGGAAGGACCTATCTTGTATACGAACTCCACGTGTACGGGTGAAGAAGAACGTCTGCAAGATTGTCCTCATGAGGAACCTACGGTAGATGTCTGCCAGCATACCCAAGATGCAGGGGTACAATGCAGTTTCAAAGGTGAGCACATAATAGGTCATACAGTGGCGTTTACAGCACAGAATGGAGCCGACGGGGCGCCCAACCCCGCTAAAGTAGGGACGTTTAGATTTGCACGTCGACAGATTTGACTGCAACGTGTGACGTCATTTTAAGGCACTGCGCATGCGTTACGTCGTCCTCAGTCGGCGATCGAGAATGCGTCAACCTTGATTTTCCTAAATCTAGTACATACATACATACATACATATTGGTATTTATATAGCGCCTTTACATACTCAAGGTACTAGTATGCCGCGTGCGCATAAAATATACAGTTCCTCAGGTAGACAAAGGAGCATCCCTTCCTTCCCTGCTATTTATGTAAAAATGTGTAGAACAGGTGTCACATGCATATTCACCTGTTCTACACATTTTTACATAATTGCAGTAAAGGGATTTGTTGAGGGTAGAATGAGGAACTGTATATTTTGTCCTCTTTCTTTGTCCGTGATGTTCATAATGTTACTTCCTGCATGCATGTATATCGTAGAGTGCAATCTAAAAGATTTCTAATTGTAGTCAACATGGGCAGTTAAGTACGTTGACACGCATGATCAGTCGGCGTTCATCGTGTTCTCGTCCACTCAATCTAAAAGTCCCTAGTATTAACCTGCAGTGTTACCTGTTACACCCACAAATGTAATAACACTTTACCCACAAGTGTAAAAATTTCACCCACAAATGTAATAACCACTTTACCCACAAATGTAATAATTTTGAATCACCCACAAATGTAATTATGACTTTACCCACAAATGTAATAAATTTGAAGGGTTATTTTGTCGAATTTGTTCAAAACTAAATCCCTGTAATAAAGCATGGGAATAGCGCGCAGTCTTTACTCCAGACCCGGTTATTTCAAAAATTTAAAAAATCTTCAAAACTAAGACCCCATAATCCTTTTCCTGTGGAATAACATGAGAATCGAGCGTAGTCTTTCCTCCAGACACGGTTATTCAAAAGTATAAAAAAAAAAAAAACTTTTAAACTAAGACCCTACCATCTTCCAAACTAAGACCCGGTAATAAAGCATGGGTTTAGAGCGTAGTTTTTCTTCCAGACCCGGTTATTTCAAAACTTTTTAAAAATCTTCAAAACTAAGACCCCATTATCTTATTCCTGTGGAAGAACATGAGTATTGAGCGTAGTCTTTCCTCCAGACCCGGTTATTCAGAAGTTTTTTTTTAACTTCTGAATAACCGGGTCTGGAGGAAAGACTACGCTCAATACTAGGCGTTGTGGCGTGCGCCTGTAATCCAGCTAAAAGTGGAAGTTACAAACTGATTCAGCCGAGGACACAGGTTCGAAACTGAGTCACGTCTTTCGGATGGTGACGTTAAAGGTCGGTCCCCAGACGTAAATAATCAGATCTGATTGATACACGTCTGTAAAAACCAATACACACACACACACGTTCTTCCACAGGAATAAGATGATGGGGTCTTAGTTTTGAAGATTTTTAAAAAGTTTTGAAATAACCGGGTCTGGAAGAAAAACTACGCTCTAAACCCATGCTTTATTACCGGGTCTTAGTTTGGAAGATGGTGGGGTCTTAGTTTAAAAGTTTTTTGTTTTTTTTTATTACTTTTGAATAACCGGGTCTGGAGGAAAGACTACGCTCGATTCTCATCTTATTCCACAGGAAAAGGATTATGGGGTCTTAGTTTTGAAGTTTTTTTTAATTTTTGAAATACCCGGGTCTGGAGTAAAAACTGCGCGCTATACCCATGCTTTATTACAGGTTTTAGTTTAGAACAAATTCGACAAAATATCCCTTCAAATTTATTACATTTGTGATACGGCGCTGCCTTACCAAAAACTGAAACCATGCATTATCTTAAACATTAACGATCCCAATGCAGGCAGCCATTTAATTATGGTCATCCAATGGTATGGGACTATTCATTCCTTGACAATTATTTTCAGATGACGAATCACGAAGAGTTGTCAACACACAGCTAGCCTTTTGCATAGATAACATCAATTGTATTTGGTGGTTGTTTGTGCCGAATGAAACCCATTTAAGATGAGTATGTCGACTTGTTCGGCAAACCATCAACATTTAATACTTTTACGGAAACTGAAAAGTTGTTTTGGTAAAGATGGACAGAAGGCAAACATCTACTTTAGTATTAGCATATACAATGTAGGCCGAAGTTTTTTTTAACAACAAGGTCATTGGTCTTAGTCTCTACCATGTTGACAGAATATTGTGTTACGTGATTACACTTAAAAGACAATAATTCACAGTTTATACTTTTTCTGTGTGTGCTTTTCAGATGTTGATCTGCGGTTAGTCGGTGGTTTAACCCCAAACGAAGGTCGGGTAGAGGTTTACAAAAAGAACACCGATGGTACGGGGGAATGGGGCAGGGTGTGTGCCGGTTCGGAGTGGGACCGGAATGAAGCTAACGTGGTTTGTCGAACAGTCGGGTATCCGAACGGTGCCGAGGCGTCAAGCGGTAGCTTCGAGAGCGGTACCGGTAGGGTGTTCATCATCGACTTGGAGTGTACCGGTAAAGAGAATACTGTCCTTGGCTGCGAGAAAGCTAACTTCGGCGATCTACAAGGTTGTCCAAGCGATGAGGTGGACGCCACCGTTGTTTGCATATCTGAAGGTAAGGCTTTGAAGCAAATGAAGTGCAATGCTCGTACTGGTGTTTTTATAGGCAGTATGAGTTTCAGCCTGTTATTCAGAGATGTTCAGTATCAGACGATCTCAGAATGACTTCACGTTCTGCAGTGTTACAATATATCAAGCGTCTCAAAAAAAGAATCCCTAGGATTGTACGACGCACGCTCCGGTGACAAAAATTGCTCCACGAAATTTCCTACACTTACAATTCTTAACTTTAACCCTAACCTAAACCTAAACTATAAGTTTGCCGAGATAAAGTCCGGTCAATTATCACCAGAGCATATTTTGGATCACCATCCTGAGTGGGCGCAAAAGAACGTGTAACTTGTCCATGTCTAATGATAAATCCATAAATCTTCGTGAGGAGATGATGATTAAGATGTTAACAAAGTTTGGCACCAATTTTTAAGGAACGAGGAAAATCTAGCATGCCGCATTTCTGTATATTTTGCGTTTTGAATATGTTCGTTCTGATTCAGCAGATCATTATCATTACACATTGTGTTTCTAAATAATATCACCAAAAAAATGATGTTTAGAATTGTAAAGAAAAATAATACCGCCATTATTTTGATACAATGAGCAACAATGTGGAACAACGTGGAACACCGTGGTATATTGATGAAGGCTCTTACGTCGCAAGTTGTCCCTCTCCAGCCAGGTGTAAAAGGGTACCTGGCAATGCTATGTAATAAACATGGCATGGCCCATGCACAGGAAGAGCAAAAATGATACTGGTGTGGCTACTCTGGGCTAAAAAGACCTAATTACCATTATTATATTTTAAGAAATACATGTATTGCTGTAAGTCGTCATTTCGCTTTTATCTTACAGTGAAGACGGAAGAGTTATCAAAGGGAGCGATCGCTGGTATCGGTGTTGGGTTCGGATTGGTCATCATAATGTGCTGTATCTTTAGTCTCAACTGTAAATGTAGACCGTTTTGGAAGAAACGAGAGGTAGATGAAACAGACGTGTATGCCGCTGCGAGTAAGGTCCTCAGTACCACTTCCAACGTAAGTAGCCAAGATTTATTACTTTGGTGATGTAAATGGGTACCTGGCAGGAATTAATTCCTTGAAATACTAGAGCGCCGCAGTGGCCGCCTTGCTAAAGCCAGGGTAATAATCGGGGCAGCGCCAGGAGCGTCACAACGTGACGGACATGTGCGCTATATAAGAAGCCACCATTACTATTATTATTCCATCGTTTTCTACCATACTGTAGATGATTAGAGGGAAGGGTATCTGTTCCACCCTGTAGAGCATTGATTGGTCTAGGTGAATAGAAATGAAGTCTGGTTTTTAGCATACAGCTTGGCCACTTTCTAATTGTTTCTAGAATTTCTGTATTAAATAACCATCATATCATATCACATCACATAACATAGTTTCTAAGTAAATCGTTCTGGACACGTTGCATTATCAGCTTTTCAATCATAGGATAAACATAATCAGACTGATATAGGAGAAAGCCCGTTGATATAGTAGTTTAAATTGTTTTCTTCAATACTTATTTTACAGCTTAAAAGTGAATCAGATACCCGGCAAGATTCCATCTCGGATATTGACCCAAATATGTTCATCTTCGCGCCGAAGAATCCCCCTCCTGGGTTCGGTATGTCTGATGCTAGTGGAACCAACGGTGTCCTTCCCAACATCGATGAAACGAAAGAGCCCAACGGAGAACTTACAGGATCCGGTAAGAAAGAAGACTCTAGCTCTCAAGATAACCACGTGACAGGGGATGAACAGAAACCATCTACGGAGGGAGATCATGTCGCTGTTTCCATGACAACGGAAGAAAACGAGGACGATATCCATCTTTATGACGATGTCGAATTGATCCTTGGTGAAGGCATAGACACGCATGACGAGAAAGAGAGCGAAGTCGTAACGATCGATGAGCAGGGAGGAGCTTACTTTAAGAGAGAGAGTCACGATCTCGATGACCACGATTACGGCGAGATCGTAGACAACGACAACGCCGAGATCGTAGACAACGACGACACCGAGCTCGGAGGAAACGATTACCTTGAGCTCGTAGACAATGGAAACCCCGAGATCGTAGACAACGACAACGCCGAGATCGTAGACAACGACTACACCGAGCTCGGAGGAAACGATTACCTTGAGCTCGTAGACAATGGAAACCCCGAGATCGTAGACAACGACAACGCCGAGATCGTAGACAACGACGACACCGAGTTCGGAGAAAACGATTACCTTGATCCCTTAGACAACAGAAACCCCGAGATCGTAGATTATGCCGAGATCGTAGACAACGCCAACCCCGTGCTCAGAGAAAACGACTACCTTGAGCTCGTAGACAATGAAAACCCCGAGATCGTAGAGAATGAGAGCGTGTTGACGGATCAACAAGCGGGGGGTCACTCCAAAACGGGCATGACAGATGAAGACAATGGTGCGTTTGATACGCGATTGTAAAAACAAATGGTTGTAAATGTTAATAATAATAAATAAGTGAACAAAAAAAAAAAGATAACGATTTTAAATGATTTTAAAATTAAAGGAAAAGAATCTTTGCTGTGGAAACAGAAACAATGGACAAACATAGGTATAAAGCTAATGATTATTTTTTTTCTCTAATGATTATAATACAAAGAACAATCTAATTGCTTCAGTACGTACACTAGGCTTGATATTTAAAATAATGCTTGACAGTTCTATGCACCAGTTCATATATATTTTGTTTGTTTTGTTCTTTTCATAGCTGGCCTATGTAAATATAATGTGAAAATTGTAATTTGGATCTAATCCAATTTTGAGAACTCTCATTTTATAAGAAATAATCGAAAGTAAATAAGAATCGATCAAGGTAAGTACATGTAGTCTAAGCTTTGCTTCGGGTGCTACATGATAGTACTTAAATCACCCTTCCTAGTTCTATCTGCACTGTATTTATCTACTACTTACTACTTTTAAAACCCTGTATGAAAGGAAAGGAGTTTCCTATGAGGGATATTATGATGATGATCCACAGCACTTTTATGGCGCCATTTATCTGTTTCAAACTTTCAAAGGCGCGAGCTCCTCCTTAACACTGGCAGTGCATTACCCTATTAAACGTCTTCGTACATCCCGCTACTTTTCTTTATTCTTTCAGTGACGTCAATTTCGTTTTCTCATTTGTTTTGATTTGTTTTGATTTAATTCCAGATCCATCTGAATCTTTTTTCCGCATGGAACTGGAAAACTCTACTTTACTTTGAGTTTTGAAATGAGTTTGTCGTATCTCTGCCTTCTTGATATGACCTGTAGGCTCACTGTAGCCGTTTCTTTTGACAATGCCAGAAACAGAATCTTACATAGTTACACTGAACTTCACGACACTGGGGACTTTGGTTTAAGTGTAAAACTCGAGTCTGCGCCAGAAGACTACCGTGGACCTAAGTGCTTTTGTACGACCATCACTATGTCAATAGATCGACATGCATCGGGTATCAAAGAAGAAAACAATCTTTTTTAAACAAGTAGAGACGAAAATGCTCTATCCAAAAATCATTGAACTGTGACTTTAATCCGCTTTTAGATCATTTTCTTTAGTTTGAGCCTCCGTTATTGACTATAGGTCAGGTCGTGCGCTGTTGTTTTTTCAATGCAAGCAGAGTACTACTCACAATGCAGATATTTTATTATTTTTGGTCAAAACACATAAAATACTTCCTAACAGAGCAATACTTTTAAAAATTAAAATTTGTTTACGATGTTGTATATATTTTCATGCACTGAAATGGATAAACGGCAAAACGGATTGGTAACATGTAATGTAGAGATTATTCTTCACTCTGATCTAATCAGATTATCTATTGTTCTTTAGAAATGTCAATATGAAGCATAATATACTTTGATTGTGTTTGTTTCCTGAAACAGGAAATCGGTATATAACGACAATTATAAATTATATATTTCCTTCTGCAATGCAGAACATATTCATGTAGTTCATGTAGATTATCAACTATTTAGAAGCAGTGCATGGACTCTGGATTACAAATCAACATGGGCGTATTAGGAGAAATAGAATGATACAATGAGTTTCTCTTATTTTTCTGCTTTCATATAAATTAACTTATTTTAAAGGTAATTGGGGATTCCCTTAAAGCTATTTCAGAGTATTCTACACAAACTCCTCATCCAAAAATGCATTTATCAGAAGAAAAAAAATCGAAAGTAATGTCTTTAAACATGTCCGATCAAGGAATAATTGCACCCTCACGTGACTGAGTCTCTTTGCGCTGCACGAACCTTTTCTGAAATATCGTCGGAGTGTAAATATTTACAAGTTAAATCATTCACATAATCATGAAATTTTGGAGAAAATGTGTTTGTGCAACCTTAATTTTTTTTAGTAAAGCTTAAATGCGTTTAATTTCTCTTTATTCCCCTTTCTTCTTTTGATCTCTAATTTTCGTGTAGTTGTTTCGGTCTTCATTTTATACGAGTAATTTTGTAATCCATGTAAAGCAAAGTGGTAAAGAGAGAGAGAGAGAGAGAGAGAGAGAGAGAGAGAGAGAGAGAGAAAGACGGTGGGGTAGAGAGATGGGAGAGCGAGAGAGGGGGATAGAGAGAGATGAGAGATATAAATGAGAGAGAAAGAGATGAGGGAGAGACATAACAGAGAGAAAGAGATGAGGGGTAGAGAGAAAGAAAGAGATGAGGGAGAGACATAACAGAGAGAAAGAGATGAGGGGTAGAGAGAAAGAAAAAGATGAGGGAGAGACATAACAGAGAGAAAGAGATGAGGGGTAGAGAGAAAGAAAAAGATGAGGGAGAGACATAACAGAGAGAAAGAGATGAGGGGTAGAGAGAAAGAAAGAGATGAGGGAGAGACATGACAGAGAGAAAGAGATGAGGGGTAGAGAGAAAGAAAGAGATGAGGGAGAGACATGACAGAGAGAAAGAGATGAGGGGTAGAGAGAAAGAAAGAGATGAGGGAGAGACATGACAGAGAGAAAGAGATGAGGGGTAGAGAGAAAGAAAGAGATGAGGGAGAGACATGACAGAGAGAAAGAGATGAGGGGTAGAGAGAAAGAAAGAGATGAGGGAGAGACATAACAGAGAGAAAGAGATGAGGGGTAGAGAGAAAGAAAAAGATGAGGGAGAGACATAACAGAGAGAAAGAGATGAGGGGTAGAGAGAAAGAAAGAGATGAGGGAGAGACATGACAGAGAGAAAGAGATGAGGGGTAAAGAGAAAGAAAGAGATGAGGGAGAGACATGACAGAGAGAAAGAGATGAGGGGTAGAGAGAAAGAAAGAGATGAGGGAGAGACATGACAGAGAGAAAGAGATGAGGGGTAGAGAGAAAGAAAGAGATGAGGGAGAGACATGACAGAGAGAAAGAGATGAGGGGTAGAGAGAAAGAAAGAGATGAGGGAGAGACATAACAGAGAGAAAGAGATGAGGGGTAGAGAGAGAGAAAGAGATGAGAGAGAGACATGACAGAGAGAAAGAGATGAGGGGTAGAGAGAAAGAAAAAGATGAGGGAGAGACATAACAGAGAGAAAGAGATGAGGGGTAGAGAGAAAGAAAGAGATGAGGGAGAGACATGACAGAGAGAAAGAGATGAGGGGTAGAGAGAAAGAAAGAGATGAGGGAGAGACATGACAGAGAGAAAGAGATGAGGGGTAGAGAGAAAGAAAGAGATGAGAGAGAGACATGACAGAGAGAAAGAGATGAGGGGTAGAGAGAAAGAAAGAGATGAGGGAGAGACATAACAGAGAGAAAGAGATGAGGGGTAGAGAGAGAGAAAGAGATGAGGGAGAGACATGACAGAGAGAAAGAGATGAGGGGTAGAGAGAGAGAAAGAGATGAGGGAGAGACATGACAGAGAGAAAGAGATGAGGGGTAAAGAGAAAGAAAGAGATGAGGGAGAGACATGACAGAGAGAAAGAGATGAGGGGTAGAGAGAAAGAAAGAGATGAGGGAGAGACATGACAGAGATAGAGAGAGAGGGCGCTGTGCTTCGTAGTCATGCACTCTACATTCAGTTCCATCATTGGTGTAAGGAGTGCGGTGGACGATGGCAGCACTGGTGTAGAGGTCAGTGGGTGGCAGCAGCGTCGATATTTTGACACTATACATTTGACACTCACCTTCGCCCTCTCACCGTCGCCCTTCCTCTTTCGATTCTATATGGTTTGCAAGGACGGTCTAATATTTTGAGGAGAATTGCTGCAACTAACCTAATAGTATATCCAGGGGCGGCGATTTCTTTTCATGACCGGGGGGACGAAATGCGAGGTACATATAACGCAGGCCCAGGGAACGTTTTTGAAAGTGGGGGGGGGGGCGCTAAAGTATTTACGATCACGTAGAGCAAAGAAAAGCAAAGTGGAGTGTAAATTGGCTGGGGGTCCATGGGCAAAGCCCCGGGGGATGTCAAGGGGCCAAGCCGCATGAAGGTCAAGGGTTTTAGGCATTTATTAAGGTAAGATGAGCATCCTGGGGGCGGAGCCCCCGGAAGCTAAGGGGTTTTAGGCATTTAATTACGGTCAGAGGAGCATATTTTGATACGTTATTTTTGACACTGGCATGCAGGTCACTTATTGGAGTGAGGTCTAGGGGCGGAGCCCCCAAAAGCTCAGTAGTTTTAGGCATTAAATTACGATCAGATGAGCATCCAGGGGCCACCTTAGGGCCCTTAGTGGGGTCCAGGGGGCAGAGCCTCTGGAAGCTCAAGCGTTTTAGGCGTTTAATTACGGTCAGATGAGCAACCAGGAGCCGCGGCCGTAGGGCTCGTGGTGGGGTCAAGGGGGCAGAGCCCCCGGAAGCTCAGGGGAAAATCATTCCATTTCAACAACATTTGTAAATCACTGGTATCGAATTAGAAATAAACCACGTTTGAATTTCATTGGGGGAACTGCCAACCTTACCCGAGTTTCACTCCGAATTGAAATCAAGATACAAGTATATTAAACTGGCTTTAAAAAAATGCAAAATATACTTTGAAGAATGCACACAGAGCGCAAGGTTACGACTCAAAACAAACTATTACCTGAGTATAATTCTTTTATATAATTATCTGTCTTAATTTAGTGACTCGTGGAACGCTTTTTAATGTGTGTTTTTGTAAGATTTGTAGGGACATATACGTTAGTCGAATTTATCGCCCAAGAAAGTAAAATGACAACATTGAAAGGACATGAAATAGATTTTTAAAAATCGAGTCGCTATTCAGGCAATGAAAATTAATATATTGCTAAACATAGCAAATAATTGAAAAAAATGACGTATGTAAAATAGATAATGATGATGAAAATAATGATAATAAAAGTAACGATATTAATACTACTACTACTAAATAATAATAACAATAATGATAATATAGTTTCGATAGTAATAGTCCTAATGCTATTGATAATGATAATAATGATAATATTACTACTACTAATAACAATATTAGTAATAATACTACCTCTTGTTTACCCAGGGTAGCCTAATCAGTATAAATACTGTTCTCCCTGAGGGCCATGCAATCATATTATTATCCCGGCTTCAGCCAAGCTATAATGACAGGTGCTGAAAGCATTCAAGGAATGTCTGCCTTCCATTTACTTCACCTGGGTTGAGAGTGGCAAATGAAATCGATTCTATATTCAAGACAATTAACTCATAATAATTCATTCATATCAGATGAGTACTGGGGTTATTGTTCAGCCAGTAAAATAGTTCGCAGAAGATTTCTCGCCTGGAGACAATGTCTAAGCGCTGATCAGAATGAGAGACAAACTCAGCGGCAGTACGCGTACTAGCTAGCATCTACAGACTCCACTGCCGCAAACTCGGCGGAAGTATGGCAGGGTCACCCCTCGTGGTTCGGGGAGTCGAGGGTATGCGTCTTTATAGGGGGCTTTATTGAGCTATCTCGCTCAATTTGATGCTTCATGTTATGGGTAAATTATAACAGAGCTGATAGAGGATTGTCAGAAAAGGGGATGGGGTAGATTTTTTGTTCCTTCCCTCGCAAGATGATTTTCAACAGCCTTGCCAGACTCTCTTCACTCGCTTAGCAAGGGATGTGGTGAGGAGCAACTTTTATTTCAAAGGGAGCTTATAATTCCTTGGATACCTTGGGAGCCGCCATCGATAAGATTCCAACATAAATTATAAAAAACATCAATCATATCTTTGACCATATACACTATCTGAGTCTTTCAGCTCAATTTGGTGACTTACCTGAATAATGAACGTTCTATTGACACTATCAAAATCTGAAAAATACCCCTCATGTGGCTAGACGTATTTTATCTCGCAACTTGTCTATTTTTCCAGCAAATATCATATCAAAATCGGATCCAAAGGACGGAAACGACCATCTTCTTCCTTAATGAGTAAAGGAGAAAATATGAAAAAAGGGGTGGAATAGAAAACATTTCGAAATTTGCATGGAATCGTACCTACCTGAACAAAATCCCACTTGAAAACCAATTTTGCTTCGATTTAGCATTCCAAATATTTTTAACCTTGTTTTAATATCAAAAGCAATAATTGGCACGTTTCTAGGAATAACAAAATTGGATAGGAATCGACAAATGTAGAAACTAAATTATTAAAGAAATAAGTATATGCAATTTGTATGGACATTACTACCGACTTTGTTTTATCTTTTTCTCAAAAGCTCAAGAATATAGACAAAGACATATTTAGGGGGCAAAATGCAAAACAGAAAGAAAATGAAGAAAAAGCATGCCCATTAAGGATTATGTAGCCCCAATACGTAGGGTAAATCGCAATAAAAGTAAATTTTCTCTTTTGAGGGTTGAAGATTTGTGAAATTCTGTAAAGCAATTGCTTTGCTCAGTAATATGTATGTTTTGACATATTTGGAAAGCGAGATGCCCAAATATGATATCTATGATGACGAAGTAACAACTTTACTCCAATGAAAGTGCTTTTTCTTCTTTCCTCTTGTACATTATGTAAATACGTTTGGGCGGGGAGAATTGAATTGAATTGAATTGAAATGAATTGAATTGAATTGAAATGAATTGAATTGAATTGAATTGAATTGAATTGAATTGAAATGAATTGAATTGAATTGAATTGAAATGAAATGAATTGAATTGAATTGAGACGGACGCAAATTCATTGTAGCCCGCGGGGAGGCATAATGCCTAGATACGCCACTGAACATTTATTAATTTGTTAAATAATTCCATTTCATGTAAAATCCAGGTACACCATCGCGATAAGGGGAAAGCTTTGCTAACAGTCACTTCTCCTGTAAATCTTAGAGTTCCTTGGCGATAATTATGATGTGCTCTAATAATGATATTTGACACTTGTATATATTATTTAGGTATACTACAACCATAAAAAGAGAAATTAAGCTATTTGAGTGAGTTAACATTCCTAAGTATACTACAACCATAAAAAGAG